ACAACATGACAGGAGCATGACAGGAACAACATGACAGGAGCATGACAGGAACAACATGACAGGAGCATGACAGAAACAACATGACAGGAGCATGACAGAAACAACATGACAGGAGCATGACAGAAACAACATGACAGGAGCATGACAGGAACAACATGACAGGAGCATGACAGAAACAACATGACAGGAGCATGACAGAAACAACATGACAGGAGCATGACAGAAACAACATGACAGGAGCATGACAGGAACACCATTAACATAATAGAGCGGCTTCTATCACCTGCAGGAAGAAATCTAAACTGTTGATCATGGGTGACTTCAAATACGGACAGATAGACGGGGAAAATAGAGAACCTCAGGGAGGCACAGAAACATGGAGAGCTAAACTATTAGACGTGTCGACAAGAAACTTTCTATGCCAACATGTCAAGGGCCCCACAAGAATGAGAGGGGATGATGAACCAGCCAGACTTGATCTGGTATTCACCCTGAACGAGTCAGACATAAGGAAAGTCAAATCAGAACCCTCCCCCTCCATAGGCATGAGTGACCAGTGTCCTAACATTTGAATATCTGGTGGAAGCAGCATTAACTCATCCAAAGAATGGACCGAAAAGCAAAACACTGGAATACCAAAGGGGAACTATGATGAGATTATACAATTTCTAACAAGAATACCATGGGAGACAGAACTCAGTGGAAAATCTGTACAAGACATGATGGACAATATCACCCACAAGTGTCAGGAGGCAGAAAACAGGTTTATCACAGCCCAGAGAGAAAAAAAACGGAAAAGCGAAAGGGGAATCCGTGGTTCAATAAGGCATGTAAGGAAGGAAGGCAGATAAGCACAAAGGCGTAGAGAAACTACAGAAATAACGGGACACCAGAGAGAGAGAGAGAGAGAGAGAGAGAGAGAGAGAGAGAGAGAGATACCTGAGGGCCAGAAATGGGTACCTCAGTGTCACGAGAGAAGCAGAGAGGCATTTTGAAAATGACATATAAATGCCAATAAAGCCAAGACCCAACCTAACAGGCGATGAATCTAAAATAGGGAAAGGATGGGTACACAGAGAATGACAAAGAGTTTTGTGAAGAACTCAACAAGAGATTCCAGAGGGGTCTTCACATTAGAGCAAGGAGAAGTCCTTGAACTAAGAGGGGTGGCGAGAAGCCAAGCAGACTTGGAAGATATTGAAATTACCAGAGATGACGTTGGGAAGAATCTGCATGAAATAGAAGTGACTAAGGCTGTTGGATCTAAAGGAATCTCACCATGGATGCTAAAAGAGGGAGCAGAAGCACTTTGTATGCCACTATCTATGGTCTATAACGTCACTGGAAACGGGAGACCTACCAGAGAATTGGAAGACAGCTAACGTAGTCCCAATCTACAAAAAGGAGGATAGGCAGGAGACCTTAAACCACAGGCCGGCGTCTTTAACTTGTACACCATGCAAGGTGATGGAGAAGATCGTGAGAAATGGCCTGGTAGCACACCTGGAGAGAAGGGACTTCGTAACACGTCACCAGCATGGGTTCAAGGAAGGCAAGTCGTGTCTCACAGGTTTAATAGAATTCTGTGAACAAGCATTAAGCAAGAAAGAAAAGGATGGGCAGACTGCATTTTCTTGGACTGTCAGAATGTTTTTGACACAGTTCCTCATAAGAGACTGTTGCATAACTTGGAGAAACAAGCTGGAGTAAGTGGTAGTGTGCTCAGTTGGATAAGGGAGCATTTAAACAGCAAGAAATAGAGAGTTGTGTGAGAAGTGAGACCTCAGACTGGCGTGATGTCACCAGGGGAGTCCCACAGGGTTCTGTACTCGGACCTATCATGTTTCTGATATACGTGGAAGATCTTCCAGAAGGTATTGACTCATTCCTCTCAATGTTTGCGGATGATAATTATGTAAATTTTGACAATTATTTATCCTTGTCAAACAAATGGCTTCTAAAGTTTAACTCGAGCAAGTGCAAAGTGATGCAGATAGGCGTAAGGAGCAGGAGGCCAAACACAAGGTAGCAGCTGGGAGAGGAAATCCATCAGGAGTAAGGACGAAAAATCTGGGGAGTTGATATCGCACCAGACCTGTCCCCTGAAGCCCATATCAAGAGGATAACATCCCACATAACGGCGTGGGACCCCCCCCCCCATTCCAGTCCCCCATTGAACCCTTTACTACCGTTAGAGGCATGATGTACGAGGAAAGGCTGCGGGAAATGCACCTCACGACATTGGAAGAGTAAGGGGGAGACATGATCACTACCTACAAAATCCTCAGGAGAATTGACAGGGTAGATAAGGATAAACTGTTTTACCCGAGTGGTACGCGAACAAGGGGTCGCAGGTTGAGGCTGAGTACCCAATGAGCCACAGGGACATTAGAAAGAACTTTTTCAGTGTCAGAGTAGTTAACATGTGGAATGCATTAGGCAGTGATGTGGTGGAGGCTGACTCCATACACAGTTTCAAGTGTAGATATGATAGATTCCAGTAGGCTCAGGAATCTGTACACCACTTGATTGACGGTTGAAAGGTGGGACCAAAGAGCCAGAGCTCAACTCCTGCAAGCACAATTAGGTGAGAACAATTAGGTGAGTACACGTCAGAGTGAGTGTGTGTGTGTGTGTGTGTGTGTGTGTGTGTGTGTGTGTGTGTGTGTGTGTGTGTGTGTGTGTGTGTGTGTGTGTGTGTGTGTGTGTGTGTGTGTCCACGTCCACGTCCCTGACATTCCCGCAATGTCAGAGAACCCCCAAGAATGAGAGGCAATGAAGAACCAGCGAGACTCGACCTAGTCTTCACTCTGAACGACTCCGACATAAGGGAAATCGGCTTTGAGGCCCCAGTAGGAATGAGCGACCACAGTGTACTGGTGTTTGAGTACCTGATTGAAGAAGGGTTATTGAACTCGAGGAGGCATACTGAAAACAAAAGGC